TGAAGATGGCTTAGTAAAAGAGGAGAGTGGGGTGCCTGGGTGGCTCAGTCAGTTGAGTGTCCGGCTTCAGCTCAGGTCATGATCTCACGGTTCGTGGGTTCGAGCCCCTCGTTGGGCTCTGCACTGACAGCTAGCTCAGAGCCTAGAGCCTGTCTTAGGATTCTGTGTCTCCCTCTCTCTCTGACCCTCCCCTGCTCATACTGTCTCTCTCTCAGAAATAAATAAAACATTAAAAAAATAAAAGAGAAAAGTGAGTAGAAAAAATCATGTTGATAATCATCTAGTTCATCTTATTTGACATAAAATGAGTTAGCATACAAGGCGGGGCATATGCATTTTCCAGATACTCTGTTTAGTGACTGTCCTAGGTAGCATTTTGAAGTTTTTTGTAACTAAGCAGGATACTCCTTCAGTGTGATTTGCGCTCTTGGGTTCACAAAGCAAGAAACTGATGAAAGGTGAGTCAGGCAGGTTGGTAGTTGACAAAAATGAAAACAAAAAACTATAGCAGCACCTACCATTCATCACTACTCATCACAAGTAAGGTGGCAGTCACTGAATGTTTTTCAACTAAATTGAGGGAAATGGATTACCTTTTGTGTCTATTTAAAACATTTCAGCTGATCTCTGAGCAGATTAAATAAAGGATTTGCTTGTTTCAATGTACCTCAAACCCATATGCAAATAGGACTCTGTTACCATACCACACATTTATGGTCAAAGACAAATGAATCTCTCTCTCCCTCTCTCTGTCTCTGTCTCTGTCTCTTTGTCTCTCTCTCTCTCTCTCTCTCTCTTATACACACACACACACACACCCCGGAGCCAGACAATATTAAGCTCCAGTGAAGAATTTTGGTAATTATCAGCTGTATTTTAGAAATCATTGTTAAATATGTTTGTCTCCATCGTTTGTGATTCTTCTTAAGATTGAAAACACCTTTCTCTCTGCTGCCTGTCTCACTCACCATTTTTTTCCTTTTCTTTTCCCACTGTTTATTACTATTCATGCCAGATTACTCACTTATTGACCTTTTGGTTCAATACTACATTCAAAGAAGGAGGGGGAACAGAGAAGGGCAGAGAAAAGGAAGAAGAGTGAAGTGTGTGTGTGTGCGTGTGTGTGTCTACACAGGAATGCTGCAACTTAGGAGCTCCGCCACCAAAAAAACCTTTAAACAGAAAATGAACTCTAGGACAGGGATGATTATTGTTTTTTAATAGGTAGACCTTCACAAGACCAACATAGGTTCTAAAAGAGTCCAGCAAGGTGGTATTCATTTGTTTACTAAGTAACCAAAGATTCACTGAGTACCTACTATGTTGGTTGAGGCACTGTGCTAAATAGTAGATATTTGAGAACATGAAAGAAGAGAGTGGCTTCACAGGTTTGAAAGGAAATTACCACTTATTGTATGGTAAATTTTAATTTTAAAATCTAAGCCCCTTATCTAGGTGGATTCAAGGATTTAACAAATATTTACCCAGTTTTATTGATTATTTTTTCCCTTGAAATATTATTTGTCACGCTTCATGATACTATGCTCTCCTGGGATTATTTTCTCTGTCTTAGACTGCTTTGCGGGATTTTCATCCTTAGCTTGAAACTTAAGTGTCAGTGTTCCCTACGGTTCTGGCCTAAATTTTCATCTCTTTGATCTACATACTTCCCCCAGGGAGGGGGTGTTCTCATTGCTTCTATGACTTTTTTTTTTTTTTTAAGTAAGCTCTATGCCTCACGTGGGGCTCGAACTCATGACCCTGAGATCAAGAGTTGCATGCCCCACCGACCGAGACAGCTGGGTGCCCCGCTCCTATGACTGTGAGTATCATCTACATGATACGGAGACCAATTTGACGACAACAAACTCTGCATGTTCAGCTTTCGCCTTCTGAGCTCCAGACTCAGGATGTTTCAAGGCACCCAAACTGAAAATATCAAAAAGTGAACTAATCAACTTCCCCTTCTCTCACTGACTGGCACAACCATCCACAGAGTTGCCCAATCAAGAAATCTAGGAGTCATTCTTAATCCCTTCCTTTTCATTTCCTGACAAGCAATCTCAAAGTTTCATGGGATTTTAGATCTTTAAATACATTAGGAAACCACCCACTCCTCTTCATGCTCTCTGTTACCACCCAATCCAGGTCACTATCCTCTCTTGTCAAGATTCCCAGAAACATCTGCTCAACTGGTCCCCCTGGTTTCAATCTTACCTGTTCCCAATTATTTTGGACTTTATAACCAGCTAGTTACCTAGCAGGTTTGATTACACTGTTGTTTTGCTTCAAACTCTTAACTGGTTTCCCATACACCAAAGGTAAAATTCTAACTCCTTTATGCGGTCTTTTAGACCTCTGTTTACCTTATCAACTCCAATCCTGCCTTTTCTCTCTCAATGCTACATTCCATCACACCAAACTTCTTTCACTTTCTCAAATATGAAACTGATGTTCTTTTACCTCCTTCACACTGCCTAAAACTGTTCTAATCGCTCCAAACTTGCCAGGGCTAACTCCAGGTTATCATTTAAATATTGGTTTCTTTTGGGAAAGCTACTTGGTTTGCTACTCACCCTACTCACCTTCAACCCTCTACACTTCTACCGAATCCATCCTATCTCTACCAAAGATACGTGTTCTTATTATATGTTCCCATGGTGACTCATATATCCCCTCTCATATAATTTTTAAACATTTTATTATAAATCCCTTATTATTATATAACAGATACATTCCTAGGGCAGGAATAGAGCCAGTAGAAGCAGCTTGCCTCTGTATTCCTAGCACTCAGTACAGTATTACATAGAACTGGTGCTCAACAAGCATTTGTTCAGTGAATATATGAAACGTCTTTTACTTGGAGAAAACTGGAAAGGGTATAGAGATAAACACCCTTCTATCCTTAAGGAGGATAACATTAAATACGGAATGTCTGCTACACATAATTATGTGATGATAATGAGTAAATAAAACTGACTTCAATTTGGATACATGGGGATTTGTTAATATTGTAAATTGGAATTAAATATTTAGGTCTCCTTTCTAGGATAATCTAATCCACACTAAATACTTCTGGAAGACAGTTTTATGATTTTATATTATAGATGAGAAAATAGGCACAGCAACGTTAATTGAGTTACTCAAAGTTGCCCAGAAGCAGAAGCACTATTAAAATTCAAAGCTGTCAATTTCTAATCCTCTGCTATTGTTTTATTTATTTATTATTTTTTTTGGAAACTATTTTGTCTTTGGCTCCCCCAAGTTCTTTGAGATTGTAGGACTTCAACCTAAATACTTTAATAGTCTTCTCAAAACTATCACCTGTGAGATTTATATTTGAATACAGAAACTCAGGAATATAGGTCTTTTCACTGAATTTTCCTCATGTTAAAATGAAAGGTTTTCAGTGATGTGTCTCTGTACTCTTGTACATTCTCAGAGATGTCAATTTCTTTGTTCTTAATAGAGTGTTACTATTGGGCACTAGTTGGGAACTCTCCTGCTGCTGGACATCAGACTGGATACTTTACATCTATACATATCCCGTTGTTAGTTGCCTGGTGCATTCTATTGCACTTGCTGGACACTGTGGTAGAAAATGTTGCCAGTTCTTCATAAATATTTGAGCAGCAACTTAGGCTATTAAATTTAACAGGATTACTGGTTCCAGCATTTGTACTGTGAGAGAAGTGAACTTAAAAAGGTTTGTGCTGTCATTTCGAAAGGCCATGTATGTACTATGTGCTCAATAAATAGGCTTCTATGTGCTATTGTGGGCAAACACAATGTATGACCACACAGCTTTAAAAGGACTTTATTACCTTCTCAATATATACATTTAGTATACACAGAAGCTTTGCCTCTGATATTAATTTCTTTGAGATAGACAGGGTGAGTATATGAGATTTTTCTTAGCCTCAGACAGGACCAACCTGGGCTGTTTCTTTTTAACCTGTCTATAGCTCAAGATGTTAAAAGAATTTAATCTGTACAGAATTGTGGCCAACACATGCCATTTGTATTAAGTATATAGAACTATACCTTTCTTCATCGTTTTTAGATTAATATAGTTTTCTTTTAACAAATACACCACTAAATAGAAGAATTCCCTATTACAGTGCATTTCTCTTGCTCTTTGGGCTTCATTTGACCCATCCTTCATTTGCCAGAAGCAAACATCTTTACTGCTAAGCATTCAAGCTAGCTCATTATATCACTCTCCAGTCCCACCTTATAGCTTCCAGGCCCAGGAAGAACTCTAAATGTCCAAAGTATTTACTGTTTTTAATCCCAATGTGACATTAAGTGAATTGGTTCTGTCATGTGAGTATAACTGATTATGTTTCCCCTAATAAAGACAGACTCTTGAGTTATCCATTTGCAAGTTAGCCCAATGTAAAAGGAAGAGAGAACTAATACTGTCAGAGGCCAAGTTAACATCAATTGCTCATACCACGGAACTGCCAATTAAAATTCTAGAGTAATCTTTCAAACACAGTTTTCCAGCCCAAGAACTATGTATAAATCCAGATTGAATTAAGAGGCATACAAGGTAAGTCTTAAGCTCCATGTATGTGTTAATATCCTTGGTTGGTCACTGGTAGATGACACTCATGGAGTCAGAACACTCTTGACTTTCACATGAAATGTAGATTCCATGAATTCATCTTCACTCATCAGCCCTGTTTTGGGGGAAATGACTTTGCAAAGATGTCGCTTTCATTTCTTAATGCTGGAGCTCCTATTAAGCTATACCAAGGAATAAAGGTTCTTTTCAAGAGTAGCACAGGGTTGAGTTGGCTTCCTGTTTCAGGAGATTATAAATGGCTCTCAAACACTTCTAAAAGGAAGCAAATTCCAACTTAGGCTTTAAAATTTGGACATATTTTTCACTCCATTTGGCACACTGGTCTGAATGTGATAGCAATAAAGCCTAACAGAGTAAAACAAATGTTTTTATCCCAAGGACACCTGACCTATGGGAGAATTTACTTTACCTGTAGAGATTCCATTTCTTCATCTTTTCTGTGGGTCTCCTCCAGGAGCTCTGCAAGAAGGTAAGATACCCATCAGGATAATGTGAAAATGAGCTGCCTCTTACTATCAAACCCAATTCAGTCAAGAGCCTGTATAAACTGTTGCCTGGAAAGACAATTTGATGTTTAAGTGTGAAAAGGAATGTAAAAGAAATGCTCTCTGATCCCAACTGATGAGATAGGGCAGACCTCTGGCCTCTGCTGATCCTAAGCTCGCTGAGAAGCCCTGGGAGGTCTTGACTCTGGTGGAGAGACCAGAGAAAAAGACCAACTAAATTACAAATCCAGAATCATATCAATATTTTAGGAATTTGGCACAGTGCTTATGTAATTCCAAAGTAACACAACATTTTCTTTAAAAAAAACTTTTTTAATGAAAATTTAGAAACAATTTGCTCTTAAAATAAGCTTCCAAGCCAAGTTCCACCTCCAGAGTCAATTTTTATAACCAAATTAAAACATCTTGGAATAATGGGTGTTATTAATGGAAGCAGAACACCACCTTAGCTGTAAAGTCATATTAATTATCATTTCACACTGAGAAGGTGGGAAGCATTGAAGCTACATCTGACCAAGAGCTTGGCATCATCTCAGAGAAATTAGTGGCCGGAAGGTAGGGTAGTCAACTGAAGAAAATTCTGTCTAAATGCATGTATACAGCCATGGTATCTCAGTGCCCTACATTAATTTACAAACTTGCTATAAAGGAAAATATATTTGGCAAGCAGAATTTTCTGCCTGCAGCTATACCACCCTGTGCTATGATCTTATTAGATCTCACAAACCTAGAGAGGGCTGGGCTGAGTCAGAAGTTGGATGAAAACAGGCAAGAAACACCTACAGCAGTGCACATTAATATTAGCATTTGCCTTGCTCTATGATTGATATTGCTCACCAAGAGGCTGTGCTGCATAAAAGGAAACTATAACTTACAGAAATTCAATATATACTCCAGAAAGGCAAATGCAAATGTTTTTAGCAAGTGCTATACTACAAGCAGCAGGAAGCAACACTATTGTGAGTAGCCAGGTCATACTGGGATAGGTCATAACGGAAGAGGCTGAAACCTCAAGAAACCTGGTAGATGATGTAGCTGATGATGAGACTGTGGCTAATTCAGCTACATAGGAATTGCAAACAATCCCCTCAATATGTGGTGTATTGGGATTCAGGATAACAGGTAATTTTTGTTATGAATCCCACAGAGGAGTTAACCTTGGTTCCCAAACCTCCCATAATCAGAGTTATATCAAAAAAGGGAGAGAAGAAAGTCCATGTATTAGGCTGCATTTTTAAGGGATTTTTGATAGGCTTATCAGGTTCCTTAACTATATAGAAACCAACTTGGGAGTGTGATAGATGGTTCAAGTGCCTTTGAAAATTCCTCATCCTGAATTCTTACTCATTCACATGTGACATTGCAGCTACCATCAAGAGATCACATGCATCTACTTTCTACATCTCACATCTGGGCTGGCCTCCTGACTTGATCTGCTAAAGAGAATATAGCAGAAGAAACTCTGTGTCAACCTGTAGTGACAGTTCAAGAGGCCTTGCAGATTTTCATTTTTCTACTTGGAACTCTGTCACCACTATACAAACAAGCCCAGGACAACCTGCTAGATGAGAAGAGCCCAGGACTCTTCCCACCTAAGATGCCCTGCAGAGTACCTTAACTGGAAGCTAGCAAATGCCCACAAGCATAGCTGTTCACCTGGCCTGAAGAGGACCACAGAGGATTCAGAAGGGGAGTCCAGTTGAGACCAGACAAACTGCCCAGCTGAGTCCAGGGCCAAGCCCAACTCACAGAATTCTGACCTAAAGAAATGGAATTGGGGGATGGTGTCATACCCAGCACTTGCTAACTTACAGCAACCAGTTGTTAACTGTACAGGAAGCTTTCTGAATTTATTAGAAGTATATAAGAGTAATTAATAGATACATGGGAGTAAAGGATCTAGACTCTGCAGAGAATTACAACTGGTCTGGGAGGGTAGGGATGTAAGTAGCATGAACACATGGGCATTTTATCCTGGGTGTCTCTAATCTTTGTGTCACTCCACTCCAAATTCCATAAAGAGAGAAGCTAAGGAGCCCAGCTCAGATCTCTTGACTACTGCTTGGCTAGGGGGAAAGAATGGAGCACCTTCACTGATAATTCCAGAAAGGAACATAAAGGATAGTTTCTAAATGCAAGATTAGAAGGTTCTCTAAGCTGGGTCCCTTGGAGTAGTGAATTACACTGTTAAATGGAACACTGGACCAGGAGTGATGGACAGTAGCGTTCATCAACCAATCAAAGAACGGATCTCATTCCCCTAGACTAAACTTGGCACAGCAAATCACAAAGGCCTTAGTTAAAACTTCCTGGATAATTAGTAGGTATTGGCTCTCCTATATAGTCAAGCTCAACTCACAGATTTGATAAAATTATAAATGTAAAGAAGTTCCATCACCCTCAGAGCTTCATAATATTATTGCAACTTAAAAATTATGTTGTCTATTTTCTCCAAATACATAGAGGTCAAACTGCTTTTCCAAAAAAACTAATACCTATTGTAATGCTTGATTTTGGACAACTGAACACAAAGAGATTACTGCAATTGGCATTTAAAATATAGAATTCCCAGGGCACCTGGAAAGCTAAATCAGTTAAGCATCTGACTTTGGCTCAGGTCATGATCTCACAGTTCAGGAGTTTGAGCCCCAAAGACGGCTTCTCTGCTGTCCCCTTCTCTCTTCCCCTTTCCTCCGCTGGTTTTGTTTTCTCTCTAAATAAATAAACTTAAAATAAAATAAAATAAAATATAGAACTCTTGGGGGAGCATGAATGGCTCAGTTGGTTAAGTGTCTGAGTTTGGCTCAGGTCAGGATCTCAAGGTTTGTGAGTTCAAGCCCTGCATTGGGCTCTGTTCTGATAATGTGGGGCCTCCTTGGGATTCTCTCTCTCCCCCTCTCTCTCCCCCTTTCTCTCTCTGCTCCTCCCCCACTCGCATTCTCTCTCTCTCCCCCAAAATAAATAAATTAAAAAAAAAATTTAAATTAAAAATAAAATATAGAACTCCTGGGCCTTTGGGAATGATGGTGGAGTAGAACTGTAAACTCACCTCATTGTACGGAATCAACTAGATAATACCCACATCAGTGTAAATAATCCAGGAAATGATTCAAAGACTGGCAGAATAGATGCTTCACAGCTAAATGTAGAGGAGAGGCCACATGGAAGAGCGTAAGAAGGGAGGAGATACAATTGGGATCTAAACAGATCCTCAGACTGTCCTCAGGAGGCAGGGACACCGTGGGCACAGACAGGGGAAAGAAACAGACCCTCAGACCAGGCACCCCAGGCCTGGGGAACCTGCACAGGGAAGAGGAATTCCCATAACATTTGACTTTGAAAACCAGACGGTCACAATTTCAGGAGTTCAGTCAGTGGCACAATTAGTGGCACTTAATACCTAGAACTTGAAAAATAACCAGGCTGGGCTCTGGGAGAGCCTGGAGGGTGAGAGGAAACACAGTGTCCACCTTTTAAAGAGACAGTACAACAAAGAGTCTTGAGGAGATACAGCATAAACGCAACCGTTTGAAAAATGACTGAGTCTGAAATGAAAAATCTCAGAGTATATACCAGACAGGCAGAGATCATTAGGGCACTTCACCAAGAATCAGAGAGCTAGGGGGTACCATTTCCCTCTCCCCTGCCCCCAGCCTAGACACAGGGACACCCGTGGGAACCAGTACAGAGCCAGCACTTGCTACCTAACTCGCTAACAGCATGCCTTGCCACAGCGCCCTCTTGCATTTATACCCCCTCCAGCTAGGCCTCAACTCAAGCCCAAAGTGGCCCCGGGATGGACCACTAACAACAAAGGGACCAAACCCTGCCCATGATAGGCAAAAATGAGTAGCATCTCTCTCCTTCTGAAGCCACACATTTCTATTAGCCTCGTGCTTCCAAGGCCGTACTTTGTACTATGCTAAGGAACCTGTGAGGCAGCAAAGCTGGTAAAGAAGAGACAGTGGTGGCTGAGGACCAGATCCACCCTTGCCGGAAGCCCACAGAACTCCCAGACTTCTGGCTCTCCCTCTCTCCCTCCCTCCAACGCTCTTTCCCTCCTCCTTCCTTTCTTTTTTCCTTTCTTCCACCTTTCTCTTCCTTTCTTTCCTCTCGCTTATACTTAAATTAGGCTTAGTTGGATTATTGTCAGTTTTAAAAGTCTCTGGTTGTATGGCTGTATTGAACTTTCTTATCTTTATTCAGAAACTTGGAGAACTCAGAGTTGGCAAGAATGTTCTACTTTACAGTGAAACATTTCATTCTACCATAAATACAGACATTAGGCTCAGAGAAGGCAAATGATTTGCCAGAGATTACCTAGTTAGTGCTAAAGCCACAGATAGCACTGTGCTCTCTAATCTTCCTGCTGTAGATATCATCTCGTGCTCTCATTTGTACCACTCAGGGCTTAATTGTACCTTTCTCCACACTGTTATTTAAAAAATTGCACATATTCATATTCCTCTCACTTCCTTTAGGAGTTCCCTGATGTCAACAATCAGGGGTCCAATGACTTCATAACCATATCCTCCCTAACTGCTGCCTCTCTATGGTTGCTGCTTAACCTGCACCTCTAAAATTGTCTCCTCGACCAGCATCACTGTTCTGTGCAATTGCTCGCTTGTTAGTTCCTTTGTTCAAGTACATGCACTTGGGATGATGAACAGGGTTATTAACCTGTGCAGATAAAATATGGCCACTGGGCACTGCTGAGAAGCAACTACTCTGCGGCAACCACAAGATGAGACAATATAGGCAAGACCCCTGGACAGCTGACGTGACATAAGGCTGTGACAACGGAGTGTGATTAGTGCACCTCGTTAGAATGAGCAGTCTTGTTTGGTCTTACCAGCTTTAGAACGAACGATGGAGAAAGTTGCATGGAGAAAGTTGAAGGGCCGCTCTGCTCCCTTGCTTACCACTGGCATGCCCATGTTTTGCTTTATTATT